AACTATGGACACCATTGTGGTTTGCTTGTCTCCTTGCTTAAAGCTTTCTGATCATGACCTATCTTCTATTTTAGGTTTGTATTATCATATTTACTATTGTCTATTATGCCATCCAATTTATCATCAGTCTACATAGTCATGATTTCTCAATCTTTGTAGTTGCAGATCAAAAGTATTCCAACTGAAATTTGCATCTATATTGAATATGTGCAGTTTTCTTGTCAGTCCTTAAATGGTACAGTGTAAGAAGTATAAATTAGTTATGTAACCAAGCTGGCTTTGAACTCATGGAGATCTTTCTGCCTCACCTTACAGAGTGCTAAGGTGATAGGCATGGACTATTATGCTTGACATTATTGTTGATTTTTTTTTAGACAGTTCACTGTGTAACCCAGTTTAAAACACACACACACACACACACACACACACACACACACACACACACAGTGTTAAAGTGTTTGCCTATATGTATCTATGTGCAGAGGCTAGAAGATGGTGTAGGATTCTTTGGGACTGGAGTTACAGATGGTTTGTGAACTTCCATGAGGGTGTTGGGAACTCAACCCAGGCCCTCTGCAAGAGAATCAATTTCTCTTAATTGCTGAGCTGTTTCTCCAGCCCTCAGTCTGTCTTTGAATATATGTGTATCTCCTATCTCAGTCTTCTGAATATTGTAAACAGAAATCAACATGTCTAACAATATGTTACTCAAGGTTCATAACCTTTTTCTTTTTCTTCATAATACTCGAGATTGAACCCAAGACCTCATGCATGCTAGGCACACATTTTACCACTGAATTTACCACATTTACATAAGGATTTAGTGTGGTGGGGGTGTTCTGAAACTTATCCTCTTCAGATACCAAAGGACATCTGTGTTTCATTCCCTTCCCTTCCCTGCCAATTTCTCCCCTTTCTTGGTACTGGGTATGGAACCCAGGGGCTTGATGGTGTTAAGCATATGCTCTGCTACTGAAGGCATCTGCCTCTTATAGTTAGAACTGAGGCTGCTTGTCAGGAAGACTATGTTGTGTTTTCTGTATTGCTATAAGCCCTATTCTTTATCTCAATATTTAGCAAACTTAGGTCAAAAAGCCAAATGGGCTTTCTGCCTATTTTTGATGGTCTGTAAACTTGTAATGGCTTTTAGTTTTTAAGATGATTGAAACAAAATCAAAAGGAACTTAATATTTCATGATACTAGAAAATTTTTTGGAATTCAAATTTCAGGGTACAAAATGCAACTTCTTTGGGATGCAGCCATTTGTGTATTTTTTTCTGGCTGCTTTTGTACCTCAGTGGTAGAGTTGAGTAGCTGAAGAATATTGTGGTCCACAAGTCTGAATCATTTAATATATCTGGCCTTTTACAGGAAAAATTTGCCTGGCAATAGATATCCAATAAATATTTGTTGAATGAATGAATCCTATCGTATACTACCACAAAAGAATGTAAGTGGGAAAACCTTCAGTCATTTAGCTCTTAGAAGTTGAGCTTTATTGGTTGTTAAATGTTAAATTTGTCCTCAAATGTGTATGTGTGTTGATTGTTTGTCAGTAACTTAGTTTCATTGGCCACCCTTCATCCTGTAGATACTATGAACCAATAAGGAAATACTAAAGAGTTAATAATTCATGGGACAGTGTTGGCTAAGATAGCCATACTTCATTTTTCTTTTAAGGTTTTGTCTATCCCCCAACCCCTCCCTTGGGATCGGCTCTCATCATATAGCTCAGGCTAGTTTAGAGCTACATTTTTCTTGTTTTAATTTGAAAAAAGCAATGATGGAAAATGCACCCCGTTTTTTTCCTATGTTGGGGATCAAATCTAGGGTCTTGCACACACTAGGCAAGTTTCATGACACTGAGCTATATTTGTATACCCTATTACTTTTACTTAGAATATTCATGAAAGTTTGTTTTAAGGCTATTTCCCACTTGTTACTTTAAGATGAAAAAAGCTACTTGCTTGTCAATGGAAGCAGTAATTAAAGGAATTTCAATGGAATACTTAATTATGGGTAAAAATTATATATTCTCCCATGTTTCATTCTTCTTAAGATGTGCCTGTTGTAGGAAAGAAATACCTTGGTAGAGGGAGCCATTATGGAATTATCGAGAAACCCAGCACGAGGGAATTTCTCCGGAATAAGGATAACCCCAGATAAAACTATAAGTATTAGTGGAGAGGGTGCCTGAACTGACTTTCCCTTGTAATCAGATTGAGGACTATCATAATTGTCATCATAGAACCTTCAGTTAGTAACTGATGGAAGCAGATGCAGAAATCCGCAACCACTGGGCTGAGCTCCCAGAGTCCAGTCTAAGAGAGGGAGGAGTGATAATATGAGCAAACGGATCAAGACCATGATGAGGTCCATGAAACAGCTCACCCAAGCTAGTAGGAGCTCACTGACTCTAGACTATCAACTACAGAACCAGCATAGTATCCAACTAGGGACCCCTGAATGCAAGTGAGAGTGGATGGCTTGGGCAGTTTGTAGGGCCACTGGCAGTGGGATCAGGTCTATCCTTAGAGCATGAACTGGCTTTTTGGAGCCCATTTCCTATGGAGAGATATACACACAGGTGGGAGGGCCTTGTTGACTCCCCTTACCCTCTCAGAGGAGCAAATGGGGAGGTGGGTGGGGGAAGGTGGGGTGCATGAGGAGGGGAAGGGAGAATTGGGATTGGTATGTAAAATAAAAAATAGGATGTGCTTGTTGAATTTGCACTTGAGACAGTATGAACACTAATGCATTAGTGATCTATCATTAGACATCTGACTTACTCTAAGAGGAATATTGGAGCTCAGAGAGAGAATCATTTTATAGAAAACGATTGTATATTATGTTATTTTGGTTTTCATATATTTAAAAAATTGTTTGCATCTGCAAGACATGCTTATAGAGGTTACATAATCCCCCAGGGTACAGTAAACCCTGTACCTGTGCAAACTGTTCTTATTTGATGCTTTTATCAGAGGACACTAAGTGGGTAATGCAGCCTGTGGTTTCTAGTAAAAAAGTAAAGTGTTGCAGCTCTTTGCCTTGGCTGGATGCTGCCAGAGTTTACTGTAGGAAATGCTTCCCTGTCATGGCAGTAGAGTAGATCCTGGCTCGCCACATCTTCCATCCTTACTTTCAAAGGGATATTGCTATTTGAAGTCCTGTTTATTTTTTCCCCTGGAATTTCCCTTTAAGAATGTCATGCAAGAATTAGTATCTACATGGAGGAGAGCCTAGGCCCTTCCCCAAATGATATGACAGACTTTGATGATCCCTCATGGGAGGCCTCACCCTCCCTGGGGAGAGGATGGGGGATGGGATTGGAGGTTGGTGGGGGGCATGGGTAGACAAGAGGGAGAGGGAACTGAGATTGGTATGTAAAATAAGATTGTTTTTAATTTAAATAAAAAAGTATTAGTATCTAGCTGACTTAAGGGGGTGGTAGTTTGCAATAATAATTATTCTGTTTTACCTAGTTATAATTAACTATTTAGTCATTTTATAAATATTTACCATGTGTGAAGGAAACATTGCTTTAAACTCTGGGATACAACACGTAAAAAGACAAAGGGGCTTATGTCCTGTGGGACGAATTGGTAACAGAAATTAAGATGTAAGCTGAGTGTGGTGATGCACACTGTCTTAGTTAGGTTTGCCGTTGTTAGGGTTATTGTTGCTGCGTTGAAACAACATGACCAAAGCAACTTGGGAAGGAAAAGGTTTATTTGGCTTGTGCTACCTTATAACTGTTTAGTACTGAAGGAGGTCAGGACAGGAGCTCAAACATGACAGGAACCTGGAGGCAGGAAGTGATTCAGAGACCACGGAAGGATACTGCTTACTGGCTTGGTCTTTATGACTTGGTTATCCTGTTTTCTCCCACGACCAGCTTGGCTGCCTAGGAATGGCACCACCCACAATGGGCTGGGTGCTCCCCCATTAATTATTAGTGAAGAAAATGCCTACAACCTTGTATATGGAGGAATTTTCTCAATTGAGGCTCCCTCTTTTGCAATGACTGGAGTTAATAGTTGTGAACCACTAAGTTGGCTTTAGGCATCTAACTAACCTGAGTATTCTACAAGAGCAACAAATGCTTTTAACTACTGAGTTACCACTCCACATTCCCTAAACTTATTTTCATTATGGCCGAATTTTAGCATTTTTCTCACCCTTTGGAGATAGGGTTTCATGTATCTCAAGCTACATGCCCTAACAGGACCCATTATTTTGTACAGGCAACTCATGTTAAAAAGTCTCTCTCTCTCTCTCTCTCTCTCTCTCTCTCTCTCTCTCTCTCTCTCTCTCTCTCTCTCTCTCTCTCTCTCTCTCTCTCTCTCTCTCTCTCTCTCTCTCCCCCCCCCACTTGATGCTTTCCAGTTCAGTTGCCCTTTAGTTTTTTTCCTTGACTAATTGTCTTGGATGTTGTTGAATAAGAAGTCTCTAGAATGGATATTCCTGTTGTGTTTTGACATTATGGAAAATTATTCAGTTTTTTCCCCTTTTCTTTCTTTTACAATGTGAACTTTGGGCTTTTTAAAGGTTTCCTTTATTATGGCAAGGTTGTTGTTTTTTGTTTCTAGGTTACTTAGTGGTTTTTTTTTTTTTGGATTTCACGAAAAGGTGTTGTAGTTTGTTAAATGCCTTTTCCTTATGTCTCTTGAATGACTTTTTTATTACCTTAGGGTATTTTGATTGCTTATTAAATCAGCCTTGCTTTCCTGAGATCCCTCTTGTTCATGATATAAGCAATTGTTTATATTTTACTGAATTTGGTTTGCTTTTGTTTCTTCAATGATTTTATTGTTAGCATCTACAAAGTGTAAAGTATATTGGTCTCTAATTTTCTCCTCATATTTTTGTCTTTTGTCGTTAGAGAAGTACTGATATTGCTTGCGTCTTAGAAAGTTTCCTTTTCTAGATTTTAGAGTGTTTATGAAGGATTAATTCTGTTTTAAGACTAATAGTATTTAAATTTGCTTTTGTTTTTTAGGACTCTCCCTTTACAAATGCTGGAATGGGATCTAATCTAAATCTCTTAGGAGAAATTGAGTGTGATGCCAGCATAATGGATGGAAAATCCTTAAATTTTGGAGCAGTTGGAGCATTAAGTGGTATGTGGGCATTATAATATAGTCCTTTGTATTTTATTTTTTAAAATAATATTTAAAAAGTATTATTCCCCAATGGAAGGCCTCACCTTCCCTGGTGAGTGGATGGGGGTGGCATGGTGGCTGGTGGGAGTCATGGAAGAGAGAGGGAACTAGGATTGATATGTAAAATAAGATTATAATTTGAATAAAAATATATAAAAAAGTATTATGTATATAGTGTTCTCCCTGCATGTATACCTGCAGACCAGAAGAGGGCACCAAATTCCATTATAGATTGTTGTGAACCACCATGTGGTTGCTGGGAATTGAACTCAGGACCTCTGGAAGAGCAGCTAGTACTCTTAACCTCTGAGCCTTGTCTCTAACCCATAGTCCTTTATTATTTGAAAAACTGAGTCTGTTACCATTTCATACCTTCTGAAGACTTATTTTTGTTTGGAGGTATGCTGAAACAATTATTCCTTCTTTGTTAAATTAAGAACATAAAATCTTTTTTTTTCCCCTCTCCCTCCCCCTCCTCCCGCATCCCCCCACCATCCCCCCCAGGCTCCCACCCTATTGCCACTTCCTTCCACATAGGGGATATCTAGAGTCTGTCATTTCACTCAGGGCAGGGTCCAGGCACTCCCCTAAGAGTCCAGGCTGAGGGAGCATCCCTCTTTGTGTTATGGACACACGAAGTCTGTTTGTATGCCAGGGATAAACACTGATCCACTGTCCAGGACCCCATAGGTTGCCCAGGCCTCCTCACTGACTCTCACACTCAGGGGGTCTGGATCAGTCCCATGCTGGCCTCCCAGCTGTCGGTTTGGGGTCCAAGAGCTCTCCCCTGTTCAGATCAGCTGTCTCTGCTGGTTTTACCAGCCCATTCTTTGCCAATTTGCTCATCGCTCCTCTCTCTCTGTCACTGGGTTCCTTGGGTTCAGTTCAGTGTTTAACTGTGGGTATTTGCCTCTGCTTCCATCAGCCACCGGATGAAGGCTCCAGGATGGTTATAGACATCATGTTCATTATCAGGAATGGGCATTCGAGGTGGTCTCTCCACTATTGTTTAGCTTGCCAGTTGGTGTCATCCCTTTAGATCATTAGAGGTCTCACTGGTGCCAGATCTGTCTTCTAAACTATGATTCCCTCTTCCCCCTATTCTACCCCCACTCAACCTTCCTTTTCCCCCCTGACCTACTCTCTCTTCCTCTTCTCCCCCTCTCTTCTTCCCATCTCCCACTACCCCCTCACCTCGCCATGTTCCCAATCTGTTCAGAAGATCTTGCTTCATTCTTCTTCTCTGGGGTACCATGCATATCTCTCTCATGTTTCCCAGACTCTCTGTCAGTGGAAGTGCAGACTGGCACTATCCTGCTCCATGTCTAAAATCCATATATGAGTGCGTACATACCATGTTTGTCTTTTTGTGACTGGGTTACCTCACTCAGGATGGTTTCTTCTAGTGCCATCCATTTGCCTGAAAATTTCAAGATTCCATTGTTTTTTTTTTTTCTGCTGAGTAGTACTCCATTGTGTAAATGTACCACATTTTCTCTATCCACTCTTCAGTTGAGGGGCATCTAGGTTGCTTCCAGGTTCTGGCTATTACAAGTAATGTTGCTATGAACATTGTGGAGCAGATGTCCTTGTTGTATGAATTTGCCTCTTTTGGATATATGCCTAAGAGTGGAATTGCTGGGTCTTGTGGTAGATTGATTCCCATTTTCCTGAGGAATCTCCATACTGATTTCCAAAGTGGCTGTACGAGTTGGCACTCCCACCAGCAGTCGAGGAGTGTTCCCCTCTCTCCACATCCTCTCCAGTATAAATTGTCTTCGGTGTTTTTGATTTTAGCCATTCTGACAGGAGTAAGATGGTATCTCAAAGTTGTTTTCATTTGCATTTCCTGGATGGCTAAGGATGTTGAGCACTTTCTTAAGTGTCTCTTGGCCATTTTAGCCTCCTCTATTGAAAATTCTCTATTTATTTCTGTACCCCACCTTTTAATTGGATCCTTTGGTGTTTTGGAGACTTGCTTCTTGAGTTCTTTGTAAATTTTGGAGATTAGCTTTCTGTCAGATGTGGGGTTAGTGAATATCTTTTCCCATTCTGTGGACTGCCTTTTTGTCTTGTTGACTGTGTCCTTTGCCTTACAGAAGCTTCTTAGTTTCAGGAGGTCCCATTTGTTAATTGTTGATCTCAGTGTCTGTGCCACTGGTGTTATGTTCAGGAAGTGGTCTCCTGTACCAACTTGTTGAAGAGTATCTTCCACTTTCTCTTCTAAGAGTTTCAGTGTGGTTGGATTTATGTTGAGATCTTTAATCCATTTGGACTTAAGTTTTGTACAATGCGATAGTCATGGATCTATCTTCAATCTTCTGCATACCAATACCCAGTTATGCAAGCATCATTTGTTGAAGATGCTTTCTTTTTTCCATTGTGTAATTTTAGCTTCTTTGTCAAAAATCAAGTGTTCATAGGTGTGTGTGTTAAAATCAGGGGTTTCAATTCAGTTCTATTGGTCTACCTGTCTATTTTTGTGCCAATACTAAGCTGTTTTCAGGACTATAGCTCTATAATAGAGCTTGAAGTCAGGTATGGTGATGCCTCCTGAAATTCCTTTATTGTATAGGGTTGTTCCTGGGCCTTTTGTTTTCCATATAAAGTTGATTATTGTTCTTTCAAAGTCTGTGAAGAATTGTGCCCGAATTTTGATAGGGATTGCATTGAATCTGTAGACTGCTTTTGGCAAGATTGCCGTTTTTATTATGTTGAGCCTACTATAGCTCTATAATAGAGCTTGAAGTCAGGTATGGTGATGCCTCCTGAAATTCCTTTATTGTATAGGGTTGTATCCTGGGCCTTTTGTTTTTCCATATAAAGTTGATTATTGTTATTTCAAGGTCTATGAAGAATTGCGCCCGAATTTTGATAGGGATTGCATTGAATCTGTAGACTGCTTTTGGCAAGATTGCCGTTTTTATTATGTTGAGCCTACCAATCCAAGAGCATGGGAGATCTTTCCATTTTCTCTTATCCTCTTTGATTTCTTTCTTTAAAGACTCAAAGTTCTCGATATAAAATCTTAAGTATAAGTAGTTTTAAAGAAAGCCTCTGATGCTAGGGTTGTAGCTTACTTGGTAGGTCACTTGCCAGTTATGAACAAAAAGCAAACATAAGAAAACTAAATGGAGCAGTGTATACCAAGTTTGGCTAGAAGTACGTTACTCTTCTCTAGTCCTTAAAGATATTATAGACATTTAACATTTATTTCAGAATAGTCTATTAATTTTGCAATTTGAAATATATTAATACATTTCAGGTGATATAATTAAAGTTTACTTTTGATTCCATAAATCTTTCCTTTCTTACCCCCCCCCCCCATTAATCAGGAAAAATCTGGGTTATTTATATAGTAGATAGGTGTAAAGGGAAGCTTTTTCCTTGAGAGAAGCCTTCCCGCCAGCCTGGTTCTAGAGCTGCATCAGTCCCAAATAAACACACAGGAGGCTATATTAATTATGAAGCTGTTGGCCTTGCTTGTTTCTTACTGGCTAGCTCTGACTTAAGTAATTACCCCATAATTGTTAATCTAAGTACGTCTCTTACCAGAGAAGTTTCCGGGCTTCCTACCCCATGGCGTTACATCTCGACTCTCCGTGTTTCTCCTTCCCAGAGTTCTCCTGGACTCCTAGTCCCACCTATCTTGGTTCCCTATTGGCCCAACAGTGCTTTATTAACATATACATAGGACTTCCCCCAACACTGAACATTTACCTACTAAAGAGGACAATTTGGATGCCAAGATTTTGGTGCAGTTACTGTCACATCAGCCCCTGTGTGTATCAAAACCTCAATTTCAATGCTATTTATTTGTACTTTTACCTTTAATCTTTGATCATTTATAGACGTTTGCCAAAATATTTGCTTTATGGTTTCTCCTGAAAATTTGTTTCATCTTCTAAAGCTGTTCTCTCATTCAGAACAGTGTAGTTTTCCTTAAACAGGCATTAAGTTTAATTGCTCTGTGGAGGAATTTCCCCAAATGTTGACAGGGAAAGATTTAACCAATTTTAACATGGGCCTCTGTGTGAGGTACCCTAAGGCATTTCCCAATGGCAAAAGGTTACTTTGCTTGTCTCTTGTTGATCTGCATGCAGTATTGCAGTGATGGTCCTTGCCATACCTCTTGTATATCCTAGAAGACTGGGGCCTTGTGTTTGGATTCTCTCTAGAAAAAAATATTATTCTTAGAAACACCTACAATCTCTTTAAGATGACCTAGTTTACTGTAATTAAAACATCTAATCTTTTGATTTCTCTTGACATTTATAGAAGTCACTTCTATCAAAGTATCATCGTAAGTATGAGAGCCAATGCTAATCCATTCATCTGTGGGTGCTTATCTTGCCATTAAAGACCTGATTACCCTTTTACATTCTGAATTAGCATTTTAATAGGCTAAGATTCAATTAATATTTGTCTAACATCTGGATCTGATGACATACTATTTACAGCTGAAGTAAATTTTTGTAAAAAAATAAGTGTAGGTTTTTTGGGGGCCTTGTATTATTTTTGTAAATGGTTCAGTCCTCTTTACTGATTCTTCAATATTATCCCAAGCATTCAAAGTTGCTGTACACCATAGATCCAAGGTGTGATAATAAAATGTAATCTGTCTTTCCAAATATGCATAATGAGTATTTGATCTTGGGAAATCTCATAACCTCTATCCCTACATCATTGTTCGATGACCCTAGTTTTGTCTCTCCACTAGGTTCTCCACTGTAACTGAGGACCAGCTTCCAGTACTGCTATAAGTAAATCTTTCCCGTTTTGTAGAATCATTCTGTTCTGAGTGGCACATAAATTTAATATCTGCTTCACAATAGATGAATGCATAGCATATGAAACTATTGTTTCCTGAAATCTCTTCAAATCTAATTTTTCTGTAAAATCCCAGTTAAATTTTCAATAGCCTTGGGGATGCTTATCATCTGGTTGTCTTTCTTGAA